ATGAGAGACATAGTGCTGCAAAATGCCCCCTCAACATCCTTTGTGTCACCGATGGCCAAACTGGCCTCATACATTGGTCGTCCTATACATGAAGTAATGACCATGATTGCCAGCCTGGGTGAAGCAGAGGATAGCAGGCAAGCAAAAGGGGTCCGGAAGTTGACTAAGACCCGACCCCTAAGAAATGATCAGAATCTTATCCTAAGGGGACAAAGCAAGACTAGCCGTAAGCAGATGTGGCTTGACTTGCTTGCAGCAGGGGTTGATAGCAAGAAAATTGGCCAGCAGCCAAATGCAGTCCTGTTTGCCTTTTGGCAGCAATTACGCCCTGAACAGCATTTCACTAAATGTCCAGAAACAGGTAGCAAAGTGCTCTTGGTGGACTTAAAGGATTTTTTGATTGCTTCTGAGGAGGCGGATGAAATGTTCCAGTTTGATTAGGGAGCAGGCCAAGGTACTTGCCTTTTGAGGGCAGGTGAGGACCAGAGGCCTCACATTGAATTGGCAATACACTGGTCAAGGACTAATGTGCAGCGTGTATTGGCATTGGTAGATACAGGTGCAGAATGTAGCCTGATATATGGCAACCCAGGTAAGTTTCCAGGGGCCACAGTTCATATAGATGGATATGGAGGACATACTATTGAAGTCAAAGCTGTGTCACTGCCATTAAGCATAGGACGATTTCCCCCTAGAGTGTATATTGTATATATATCCCCAGTAGCTGAGTACATCTTGGGTGTGGATGTACATTATGGCTTGCACCTGCAAACAACAGTTGGAGAGTTTCAGCTACGAATATGGACAATAAAGCCTGTGTTACGGGGATATGCTAAACATGACCCATTGGTGTTACCCCAGCCAAGACGCATGGTTAATGTAAAGCAGTATCGCCTACCAGGAGGACATGCAAAGATAGGTGCCACTATATTGGAATTAGAAAAAGTTGGCATTATTCGACCAGTTCAAAGCTCATTTAATGCTCCAGTACGGCCAGTGAAAAAACCTGATGGTACCTGGAGAATGACTATAGACTATCAAGAACTAAACAAAGTAGTGCCTCCTTTGCATGCACCCATGCCTTTGGTTCATGACTTGATGACTCAGCTGGGAACTTATCATTATGTATTGAACCTTGCAAATGCTTTCTTCTCTATTCCAATCTCAGCCGATAGCCAAGATTAGTTTGTCTTCAGCTGGGGAGGCAGTGGACCTTTCAAGTACTGCCCCAAGGTTATCTGCATAACCCAACCATCTGTCATGGTTTAGTGGCTGGGAACCTAGCCAAGTGGACAAAGCCCAGCACAGTTACAATGTTTCACTACATTGATGATGTGTTGTTAACCTCTGATTCTCTTACAGATTTAACCCAGGCAGCTCCAACACTGCTAAGCCATCTTGAACAATCTGGGTAGGCCATGAACACAGCCAAAGTACAAGTACCGGGGCTGTCAGTCAAATTCTTAGGAGTGGTCTGGTCGGGTAAGACAAGGGTCATCCCAGAAGCTATTGTAGACAAGATACAGGCATACCCTCAACCCACAACTGTAGCTCAGCTACAGACATATTTGGGACTTCTGGGGTATTGGAGAGCTTTTGTACTCCATATGACTCAAATGGCACACCCACTATATGCATTAACAAAGAAAGGAGCCCCATAGGATTGGACTGAGGAAGTAGAACAGGCTTACTGGGCTACAAAAAGGGCAATACAGCAAGTACAGGCTTTACAAGTGGCTGATCCCACTAAACCTTTTGAATTAGACATACATATCACCCGAGAGGGATTAGGATGGGGTCTGTGGCAGAGACAAGACCGATTCTGAACACCTATAGGATTCTGGTCTCAGCTCTGGAAGGGTGCTGAAGTATGCTATTCTCTAACAGAAAAACAGCTAGCAGCTGTATATTCTGCCTTGATGGCCACTGAAGCTATCACAGGAACTGCCAAAGTCCTAGTAAGGACAACATATCCCATATTAGGTTGGCTGAGCATGTGGGACACCAACCCTAAAACAGGTGTAGCTCAGACTCCCACTCTGTCTAAATGGGGAGCATATATAGAACAAAGAAGCACTGTGCCAATGATTCCTCTGTTCAAAGAGTTGCAAACTGTGCTAGGCCCAGTAGAGGTTATGGAGGAAACTTTGACACAACCCTCACCCATGGAGGTGAGGCTACATCTTTCCATGACGGACAGGGACCTATCACAGAACAAGCTTGGCATACAGATGGCCCTAGCATGGGACCCCAGCATAATGGACAGCTGTTGCTGTCTCGCCTTTAACAGATACTATGTGGTATGAAGATGGCACAGGGCAAAGCAGTCAATGGGCAAAAGTGAGAGCTGTTGGATGGTGATAAAAAATGAGCCTGGCGGGCCGGCCCGGTGGCGCACTGGATAGTGCGCCGCTTGGGAAGCGCGGCGGCGCTCCCGTCCGAGGGTT